AATTGGGGTGGCCCAGTCCATGCATGGAATGGGCTACCACCACCTCCTGTCCTCACCAGCCCTCTCCCAATTGTGACACCAAAGTCCTCATCCAGGAACATAAATAAGGTGGTGTCAGCGCCAGAATGACAGGCAGGAGACTCATTTTAGTGTGGGGTTTGATCCCTGACTTCACTAAAGATTCGAATTTAAATGCGCACCTCTTTCTAAATAGACCTAATAATAAAACATATAATATAGGGCGCCTGGGTGGCTCAGTTGGTTAAGCGACGGCCTTCGGCTCAGGTCATGATCCTGGAGTCCCGGGATCGAGTCCCGCATTGGGCTCCCTGCTCGGCAGGGAGTCTGCTTCTCCCTCTGACCCTCCTCCCTCTCATGCTCTCTGTCTCTCATTCTCTCTCTCTCAAATAAATAAATAAAATCTTAAAAAAAAAACCCAAAAACATATAATCAGTGAAGTCTTTGTATACATACAAAATCCGTCCTGAAAAGCAGTTACACAACAATTAAGCACCTACTGTATCACTGCCATCACACAAAGACCAGAGGTACACAGGCTGTAACCTGTAGGACCATAAAGGGGAGGAAGGACCATGGGATCAGGATCCTAGAGACGTCAGGAGAGAGCTGCACACAGATCCAAGGTGTCTTAGCAAGGGAGACCTAGAGATTCAGAGTCAGGAAAGAGCACAAGAAGAGGGCTTTCTTTGATGTGACATTGGGAAGGAATAAGGAGTTTCAACCCAATGGGACTAAGGCAGGGACAGTGTTGAGGGGAGTCCACAGTGAACAAAACCTCAGCATAAACCTGGCAGGCCTACACAGAAATCAACCTGGAGTTCACAAGGGCAGTTGTGTGAGTCAAGATCACAAGAATGCATTTGAGCCATATGATGAGAGTCCATGAGGGTCAAACTAAGGAGGTCAATAGTGCTGAGAGCTGTTTCTCAGCCAGAACACTAGACTCCTTAGCTTGGCTGCCACTTACAAGCATGGGATGTTGGTCAACTTATTTGACCTCTCTTGTCACATAAGCAGCTGGAGAGAAAGGATATGCTCACATCATGGGGAGGTGTTGGGGGAGAAGATATGAACTGCATATCTATACCCAGGCAATTGGAAGCTCCTCGCCCACTTCCCCTGTCCTTGGAATGTAGGTTCCACTTGCTTGGTCCACTTCCAGAAGCTGCCACAAGCCAATGCCTTGAGATAGTGATGTGTTGTTGAGACCATCTGAACTGGGTATGGGACTGAACCCACTTAAAGCTTCTCTGTAAACTTCCAGATTCTGGCAAGTGGGTGTAGATATCTACCCATCTTGCCGCTATGCAAGACAACCCTGTATGTAAGCTCCCTATATCATTAAACCTGCCATATACCAACCCAGAGTGGCCAGCCTTTTCTTCAATTTCTCCCAACTCTCTCTGTAAAGTGGTTGCTTTCAGATTATACCTGGGAAGCTGCAGAGGAGGTTGCAAACCGAGGGAGGGTGACCACACTTGTCACTTTTCTCAGTAGAATCCTAGTTTATGCTACTCTCCTGACATGCCACCCACTTTGTGACCTCTTTCACACTCTAAAGTACCCCCATTGGACCAATAAATGTCATCCTCCTCCTACACATTAGTTTGTTCCTGACAAGATTAAAGGAGGTTTGCTCCAGTTCCTTGCCTCAAGTGACCACTCTATTATTGTTTGCCATTCATATTTTATTGAATTTTGGAAACAGATAAATACCCATTGCTGCTGGGCTTTGAGAAGATTACTAAACCAACAGTATGGAAGATGTTTGACAGAGAAGTTCTGTGTAAATTATATCTCAATAAAACTCTTCCAAAAAGAACAGTATCAAGTAAGCATGGATCAAAATACAGTGGTTTTTATTCACACACAGGACTTTTACCTCAGATCTCAACATGACCTTCTCTAGATCTTCCAGAGAATGTGAAGTTCAACCAAGTTTCCAGTGATCTCTGATGGTCCTAGTAGTCCTTCAAGTTTTATCATAAGAGCTTTCTCAATTTTATAGAATGAATCACTGGCAGCTGCCATGAACACAGCACCTGTTCTGTGCCCAGCCCTGTTCTGAGGACTTATGACAATCCCAGGACTATTTCCAGGGTACAAAAAGACACAGCCTTGAAATCTCCCAGCAGGCTTGGCCCATGGCAAGTAGTGGGCCTGGTCTAGGGATGGTCTAGATACTGTGAACAACCAACATCTCACTGCCTTCAAGATGTCTCCAAGGCCAAGGCCTTTCCTACCATTGCCAGGCTGCTAAGTCCCTCCCTCCCCAAGTTCTAGACTTTGGCATGATCTTAATGAGGAAGAGGTTCACTTCGAAAGAACATGCCTGAGGTTAATGTCCCAACAGCCCTGCAGGTGAGGGCAGAACTGGTTTTACAGAATGAGTGAAAAAACATGTGGGATATCTTCTTAAATACTGCAAAGTTGATCCATATCAGTAACTTACAATTTAAAACCACTTAAAGAATATCTAAATTTTAAAATAACTCCTTCATAGGCTTTGTGCCAATACATGAAACACTGAGAAAAGATGGCTCTCACTGTCTGTTATTACTTTATGAAGTATGGTAAGTCCTCAAATGACCAAAATATTGGTGTGAGTATATATCAGGTCTTGCAGGAACCTGAAGACAAGCCAAATATAACTCTCTCTTGCCACATACTTTCTCTCTTTCCCATGACACATGGCATTCAGGGCAAAATCTCTACCTGGACAAATTCACCCTTACAGCATGGTTTGTCTTAATAGGGGATCAATAAGGGTCATGCAAATGCCCATACTGAAGGCTCCTTCATTCCTCTAGTTCCTGAGCATCATCTGGGGACCTGACTTAAAGCCCCTTTTGAAGAGAAAAAATCAGGCCTAGGTACACATGCATCTTGACCTTTTGGTTTCTTCTATTTCTCCTTGTCAAGACTGGCTTGTCAATATGTCCTTTGTGGGCTGAGTTAACTGTTTGTCATTCACCGGAGAATAATCATCATCTGCGATAGAGAAAACATGAAGCTAAAAAAAAAATACACCTCTTATTGTGGGCACCATGTACATGATGTGGGATTTTATTTTAATTCATCTTATTCCATTTTATTTTACTTTATTTTATTTTATTTTTTGCTGAGTAAGAAACTTATGCAAGGATCTGTGTCCCAGCAGGTAACAGGGCAAGTCCATACCAACTGGGGCACCAAGGGGAGTCCCCATTAAGACCTAGCCAAGCAGTCTCTCTTTTCATCACTAAAGTCCTTCATTTGCTGTGGAATGGAGATTGGTAGCAATGGTCAACTGGAGGAAAGCACACACATTAGAACATCACATTTTTTCCTATTTCTAGCCTATCCTTAAATTAGTATTGTTCTTGGCAATTTATGCTCCAACTGAATGATGGGAAGAAATGAGTCCCTAATAATCCAAACAGCAAATATCACATTTATGAGTAGTTAACTCATCTCTCTGGCTCTCTCATCATTTTCATTCTCTTTTTGTTAACTTGAGTCTACTTTGTTTCTCTTGTCCCTATTACCCTCCTATTGTCCCTGCTTAAACTGATGTGGTTTTTCTATTCCTATAGTAGGAGGTTGTCCTATGTCTCTCTTGACACCAAGAGGCACACTGTGTTTCCTTTCCTTAACTTGCCAAATACCAAGTGCTCCAGGACCTCTGTAAGTGCTGTTCCTTCTGCCTAGAACATTCTTTCCCAGATATTCTCCTTGATATCATTGTCCACTCATCCAGGCTTTTAAGTCTGTCCTCCTGTAGCTGGCCTGGACTTCTGTACAGGACACTGCCCCTCATGGTTGTTTTGTTGTTCTGTACAGCAATCATTTTCTGACGTCACTCATTCAATTTTGGGAGTGTTTGTTGCCTCCTTTGTGAGAAGTAAGTTCCACAGCGTCGAAGTTCTGGTTAAACAACTGAATCTGGGGCACACAGCACAGCCACCAGTCATAGGGAAAGCTCATGGTTCTTGTTGAGCAGTGGATGGATGAATCGTGGATGGATGGATGGATGGATGGATGGATGGATGAATGGATGAATGGATGAAACTTCCCATTTACTCATCATTACCTTGTTTGAATCCCTGGATAAGCTTTTTACAGAGTGTCTGTCATCTTTACAAAACCAGGCCTGGATTTATTCCTGCTCATTTTAGAGATGAGGAAAAGGAAGCTTGAAATGACCAGCAGTTTCACTCGCCCAAGGACACTTCATGATTAGGTGTTGCATCCAAGATTTAAATCCATATCTGCTTAAGCCCAGATATGGTCATCCTTCTAACACTCAGCACTGCCTCTGCTGAGCAACCACTTGCTCTACAGCTTCACATCATCCTTTGAATCAGTGAGAAAAAATCCTAAACAGAAAAAATATAGATATAGATAGATATAGATAGATGACAGATGATAGATAGATAGATAGATAGATGATAGACAGATAATGATAGATAGTAGATAGATAGATGATAGATAGATGATAGATCATAATATAATGAATTTATGAAATTGAGTTAATTAAATGAGATATTCTTTGTAAAAAGAACCTTCAGAGAGAATGAGACATTGTGAGTATTTCTCAAACATCAAGCACCTTACTAAAGTGTCTATGGGCCAGGGAAGTCTTTCCCCAAGAGGAGGGAGGGATGTGAGAAGGATATGAAGACCACACTAATAATAAAATAAGAATGACAACACAGGCTCACTTTACTGTAGTCTGATTAGTTAGCAAGCATTTTTGCTTAATTTCATCTAAAATCATGTATCATTGAGTTCCAAAATTGTTTTGGGTTCAACAAGCTCTGTCTCCTTGGTTTCTACAAATGGAGCACAGGCTGGCTGGGTTGCAGTTGATTTTTCCTGTCTTTCCTGGTCCAAAGCCAGGTTCATTGTGTGACTCATTACCTCATTTCTGGGAGGGATTAAGGTGGTGAACAAGAGAATAAAAGGAGGACTCCTAGGCACTCACTGCCAAAGTCAGTTCCTTCCTCCCTGTCTGCATAACCAACCAGTGCTGCCCTCAACCATGAAGCTGCTGAGAGTCCTTGTGCTGATTGCCCTCCCCCTTTACTGTTTTGCAGGTGAGTTCTGTGTGGGGAGGGTGGCTTTTGGGCTGAAGATTGTGTCAGGGCCCTCTGGAAGACCTCCTGTTCCCCACACTCCAGTGCAGAGCACCTCCTTTCTCCAGTGTCTTCGTGTTTCATGGTTACTAGTGTTTGGCTTCTCTGGGTTATGGAGGTAGTGTGGGGGTGGGGGGGGTACACATGCTTTCAGGCTTAAAGGAAATCCTAGATCCTGAGCTTACTCTGCTAGATTTGAGAACTCAAGACCATTCACCATATTCTTTCTGAATGTATGTGTCTACTGGGACGTAAGAAGATGAACCATATCCTAGGGACACCCAAAAAGGGCTTCATACCTACATAATTGAGACCATGTTTGCATGTTTTCTTCCAGGTTCTGGGTGCTCATCTCTAGAAGAGGTGATTAACAAAACTATCGATTCTCAAGTGAGCGTGGAAGAATACCAAAATTTACTTAAATCCTACTCATCTGGTCCTGCAACTGACGAGGCCATAGCACAACTGAAGCAATGTTTTCTCAGCCAGTCGGATGAAATTCTGACCAAAGTTGGCACGCTGTTGGTAACTATGGTTTCTTCTAATGAGCTTTAAAACCACTGAACAGGGACAAGCAGGCTCTAAGTTTGTCACTCATTATGCCACAGCAAGTGTTACACATGCCTTCTTTTATTTCAGTGAATTTAATTGTGGGTGCATGTGAATCCTTTGACACCCAGAAAGCCAGCCAAGGTCCCAGTGCTAACTTGCCTCTTCACTTTGTAGAATCTTTAGGGAATGATAAATGAAAAAGGCCAAAGCAGGGAAACAACACACACACCCACACACACACAATTTCTATCAAGGTAAAAAATGTCTGATTCTCAAGAAGGACCTCACTTGTAGAAATGATCAGCAAAAAAAGATCCCCTTCTTCATAAAAAAGAGGAAAATATTCATAAGAATTTTTAATAGAATCCAGAAAACCCCACTTGAAGAAGATTCTGTACATCTTTTTTTTTTTTTAAGATTTTATTTATTGGACAGAGAGAGACACAGCAAGAGAGGCACTACAAGCAGGGGGAGTGGGAGTGAGAGAGGGAGAAGCAGGCCTTCCGCCGAGCAGGGAGCCCGATGCTGGGCTCGATCCCAGGACTCTGGGATCATGACCTGAGCTGAAGGCAGACACTTAATGACTAAGCCACCCAGGCGCCCCGACGATTCTGTACATCTTATGAAAAGAATTTAGAATGCACTTTCAAGCAATCCCAATGTGTTAGTATAAGTGATTGGATTCCTTGACCATTAATTTAAGACCCCATGAATGACAAGTAGAGATCATGGGTATGAATCGGCCACTGGGGATGCAATTGCATAAAATAATAATCAGTAGTGTGTTTGCTCTCTATATTTTATTCCCTATTCCAATATGCCATTGAAAACCTTCCAGGGTAGACAATGTAGAAATATTGCCAAAGCAAAAGGTAAAAGTATCCTTCACAGAGAAGATGCTGACACAGCACAGCATAGATGAACCTTGAGCACATTATCATAAAGGAAATAAACCAGTGAAAAAGACAACTAATGCATGAGGTCACTTACATCCATTTTAGAGTAGCGAATTTCCTAGAAACAAAAGGTAGAATAGTGCTTTCAGGGGTTGGGTGGTATGGGAAATGGGGATTGTTCAGTGGGTATAGGGTTTCACCATAGCAAGATGAAAATGTCTCCTCATCGTTAGAATGAGAGATGAGATCATTCCAATCTTAACTGAAACACCGACTTTCTTGGATACCAGATATGTATGGACAAACCCAGGAAGCCAAGGAGAAGAAATGTTTGTTTTTCAACTTTCCTTTCTAACAGAGAGCTGAAAATCTGATCGATGTCTCTGTTTTTGTTTTCCAGAACATAATATATGAAAGTAAGTGGTGTGCTCTGTTTTAACTTTCCATAAAACCTGGGCCTCCGAGGACTACAGAGACTGCTCAGAAACCGACTGCTGATTATATATGAACCACAACTTTCCTTTCCTTTTTGTCTTTTGATCTATAAACTGCAAGACAATTGTTGAAACCTCGAGTACATTTTCATTTCAATAAAGTATCTGCAAATGGAAAGTTCTTCTTATGTTATCTGATCAAAATGGAGGCTTCATGCGTGTGCCCGTGAGCCCAGGCACACACACACTCATACATAATTCATTGGAGAGCACATGGATGAAGGACTTAGGAATGGGGAAAGCATTTTGTTCCTCCCCATGTGTAGCCCAACACAGTCCTCTTTCTGCAAATGAGTTCTTTCTCCCTCCTGGCCCCCATTTCCCTCAGGACCATGTGTGAAGATCTCAAGACTTAGGTTCTGGTGTTTGGGCAGCATGCAGGTCCCTGAGACACGGTAGTCTTCCTCTGTGCTGTTAGCCCCGCTCGCCATGGCTAGGCCTCTCTCATCTCCTGCCCCTGACCCAAGACTGCTGGCCAGGGAGAACCGTGACTCATACAAAGCAGGGGTGAATCCTGTCTTGATTTTAAATTTTAATATGTGGCATTCATTTTGATTCTTGAAATATTTCATTAAAATGTGATTTTCCCTAATTACTAAGATTGGGGTTGCCTCCCTGAAATTGTGTGGGTGCCCCTAGTCCTGTCCCTGCAAGTGACAATGTGGTCCAGTCTCTCCACCCCAATGATCGACAAAGCCAAGTAGGTTGAGGGAAATGTGTGTGTTCTGTAGGAAGAAAGCAAAGCCAGCGGTTTTTATACAGAACCACAACTCTCCTTACTTTTATCTGTCCCCATATTCCTGTCACCAGGGATAAGTTATTGCCACCCCTTCTGCTCTCTACTCACGAGGTCCCCCGTCTCTTCCTTCACAGGCTATCCTGTCACCCCGGGAGACCCTGGATCCTTCCTCAGGACTGTTTCTCAGCTTCCACCAGGGATGACTTCCACCAGGCATAACACATACAGAGAATTGGGCTGACAATATTTTTAGGATTCCACTAAATGTTATACTTTCTTTAAAAATATTAATCAAAAGTGACTGTAGTAATAATGAATATATACCAATGAACCAGACTGGAGGATATTCGCTTTTATACTGATGCAGTTGTAAGATATGATATTTAATATGTTTTTTATGGAAACTATCCCAAACTACCTAAGACTCACAAAAATCATGAGTCCCTCCCCTCTTCCTTCTCCCAAACACCTCAGGGTCTATGATGCCATTAGGCCCAGGCAAAAGGACCCTTGCCCAGGACCCACATCTTAAAAGATCCCCCCTATTACACACACACACACACACTTATTTATTAAAAACTCAAGGACCATACTCAGTTCTCAGTGCACTAGGTACATCCTCACTGGGGAGGGAGGCTGCACCATCTCTCTCCACCTCTCAAAAATGGGAACCTCAGTCAACACTCTCTCAATTTTGGACCATCAGAGAAGAGGAAAAGGAAGAGATTCAGCTGCAGGAACTGGAGATGGACACAAAGATATGCAGAAATTTGCATCAGTCAAGATAAACCCTGGCCTATTTGATGAAGGTGTCTATATATTGAACAGAGCAAATTTCATGCAAGAATTGGTAATAAAGGTTATTAGAGTACTGGAGCAGTAAAAAAGGACCTGAGATGTCCTTCAACAGATGAATGGATAAAGAAGATGTGATCCATATATACAATGGAATATTACTCAGCCATCAGAAAAGATGAATACCCAACTTTTACATCAACATGGATGGGACTGGAGGAGATTATGCTAAGCGAAATAAGTCAAGCAGAGAAAGTCAATTACCATATGGTTTCACTTATTTGCAGAACATAAGAAATAGCATGGAGGACATTAGGAGAAGAAGGGAAAAATGAAGGTGGGGAAATCGGAGGGAGAGATGAACCATGAGAGACTATGGACTCTGGAAAACAATCTGAGGGTTTTAGAGGGGAGGAGGGTGGAGGAATGGGTGAATCCAGTGATGGGTATTAAGGAGGGCATGTATTACATGGAGCACTGGGTGTTATGCATAAACAGTGAATCATGGAACACTACATCAAAAACTAATGATGTGCTGTATGGTGACTAACATAACATAATAAAATAAAATAAAATATTTAAAAAGTTGAAGATATATATGTATTTTGGAGGTAAAGAAGATCAGAGATCAGAATTGACTTCTGCAACCAAATGGAATTGCCACTTGGCCCTATCTTTGAGCAGTGTATTTTCCAAAAATACACAGTCCAACAACTGAATAATGGTTTTTCAAAGAATTACTTTTAGTTGCATTTTTAACACATAGGAATATGCAGTGTGCAGCAATTCTTAAATCCGGTTTTCCTCTCTCTTCAGTTTCTCTCACCTCTTGGTCTATCCTCAAATATCTCTTTCTCACTGAGAAGAGTAGAATGTTTAGATTTTTCCAAGTCTCAGTGTCTGGCTTAAGAGAAGAGAAGACAGCTGGTGTTACATATGTGTCTCAGTCTTTTTTTTTATTTATTTAAATTCAATTGAATTAACATACAGTGTATTATAGGTTTCAGAGGTAGAATTTAGTGATTCATTAGTTGCATATAACACACAGTGCTCATTACATCACGTGCCCTCCTTAATGCCTATCACAGAGTTACCCCATTCCCCAACCCACTTCCCCTTCAGCAACCCTCAGCTTGCTTCCTATAGTTCAGAACCTCTTATGTTTTGCCTCCTTCTCAATTTTCATCTTATATTATTTTTCCTTCCCTTCCCATATATTCATCTGTTTTGTTTCTTATATTCCACACACGAGTGAAATCATATGGTTTGTCTTTCTCTGAGTGACTTATTTCACTTAACATAATACACTCTAGCTCCTACCATGTCATTGCAAATCACAAAATTTCATTCTTTTTGATGGCTGAGTAATATTTCATTATATATATATACATACACACCACATCTTCTTTATCTATTCATCTGCTGATGGACATCTGGGCTCTTTTTATAGTTTAGCTATTGTGGACATTGCTGCTATAAACATTGGGATGCAGGTGCCCCTTCAAAATACTATTCTTGTATCCTTTGGATAAATACATAGAAGTACAATTGCTGGGTGGAAGGAAGGGAAAAATGAAGGGGGAGCAATTGGAGGAGGAGACAAACCATGAGAGACTATGGACTCTGAGAAACAAACTGAGGCTTTTAGAGGAGAGGGGGGTAGGTGGATGGGTTAGCCTGGTGATGGGTATTAAGGAGGGCATGTATTACATGGAGCACTGGGTGTTATACACAAACAATGAATCATGGAACACTACATCGAAAACTAATGATGTACTGTATGGTAACTAACATAATAAAATAAAATGAAATAATAAAAAAAAATCCTGGGTGGGAGGGTAGGTCTATTTTTAATGTTTTGAGGAACCTCCATACTGTTTTCCAGAAAGGCTGCACCAGTTTGCATTCCCACCTACAGTGTAAGAGAGTTCCCCTTTCTCCACATCCTTGCCAACATCTGTTGTTTCCTGAATTGTTCATTTTAGCCATTCTGACTGGTGTGACATGTTATTTCATTGTGGTTTTGATTTGTATTTGCCTGATGCCTATTTTCCTTACTGATATATCCTCAGTGCCAAGAACAGGGTGGACATGAAAATGAATGGTAGAAAAACTTTTTTCCTGTACTCTTCAAGGACTTTTAGATGGGCTGATAATTGAATTTACTTAAGACAGATTAACAAGAGAAAAAAACCCAAAGTTTTATTACATATGCATAATAAATAAAGCCCAGTAATAAAATTGATACCTAAAGGAATAACCAAGGCAGGCAGTTATAATACTTTTCAGATAAAGAGACAATAAATCAGTGAAGAATTGACAGGGCAGAGAAAACTTAACTTTGGGAGCTACAATTAGTAAGGAATTCTAAACAAAATTGGGCTGGGGAAAGAAATTAGTAAAAAGTAACAAGGATTGTTTATGCAGCCTTCATGGCTCGACATTTTCTAACTCTGGTGATTAGGGTGTCTACCTCCTGGTAGAGAGAGGGTACCTTACATGGGGAGATTTATTTCCTGCTTTCAGGGCAATAGATGAGTGTTCTTATGCACTCATTGCCTCTTAAGTAACTTTTACTGAAAATAATCAACATGCCAAAGTAGCACATTTGGGGGCAGCTTGCCCTTGGCCCCTACAAAAGGCAAGTTCAACAATAGGTTTGTGAGTGAATGACCCAGATGTAAGAATCAGTCAGTGGAAGGACCCAGTCAAGGGACAATCAAAGAGAGACATGGGTTCCCAGTCAAGTTCAGATCAGAGATGATGAGCAAGTGGCAATGGAATTGAAAAAAAAACCATTCCAGATGACAGTACAGAAAAAGAACCATTGGCAAAGAAATGGAGGCTCCAGAATGATCTATCTTGCATTGCATGATGTATTTACTTTCTTGGGTACCAGAGATTACTGTAAAATATGGGGGTGGGAGTGGCAACCAGAAGCACTGAGCTAGAAGCATATGAATTATTCCCTTCAATGGGGAAGCAAGGCCTCTCTTTAATGGGACCTAACAATCCCAGACCTTGAGGCTCTAAGTAATATACCACAAAAAAAAAAAAAAAAAGTGTCCCACTGGAATGCAGATTCTCCATGGTTTATGATAAAGGAAGGAATTATGGAATTTCACTTAAAAGCCAACATGGGTGGAGAAGCAATAGATGTGGGGGTGTCAGTAGGATGAAACAGAAGCTTATTCCCACTCATCAGTTAGCACATAAATGAGCATGCTAACGGGAATACAGACAAGCAAGTGTTTTCCTGAGGTTTAAGGTTATGGGCACAGAGGAGTAGGACCAATATGGGTGCTCAGCTTTCATAGAATATGTGTGATTAGGTGAGAGGACCACAGGATGTCTCCTTTTCTGTGGCAAGGACATAGGCTCCACATCCTTGTCCAGATAAGCCTGCATGCCCCTTGATCACCTGGACAACTCCTGTTGATCCTTCAAGTCTCAATCACCTGACATCTTGCTTAAGGACCCAGGATTGAACTTCCTGCAAACATCTGTACAGTCTCTCTTATTCTCCAAGTCCCTCTACTTGCTGACTCCTGGTGATTACCAGAGAATGTGACAGGTAGAGGAGGAGGTAGACACAATTTTG